AGCTGGCAGTTAGAGCATTTTCTAGATACAACTAAATAGATTTGGGCTGTTTCTTTGAAACCCAAAAAAGTGATAGTGCCAATGCAGTTATGTTGGCCAAGCATATAGCTAAAGTCATCACAATCAACCCAGGCTTTTGTGTGTGTGTGCGTGAGATGCAGTGTGTTTTCCACTGGGTCTGTCAAGTAACACAACAACCTTCTCCACTGTCTGGAGGAAAATGATGGCAGCCCCCGAGTCTGGGGTTGAGAAAAAGACATCTCAGACCTTGAGAAAGAGTTGCAGAGAGAATTCCAGCATCTCTGCCAGTCTCACGGTCCCCTCTATCCCATGCCTTCCTCCCTTGTCCCTCTGACCCACAGACCCATGAAAGCAGTCAAACAGCTGGACCTGTGGACTCACAGCCCAACCAGAGTGCAAGAACAGGGCTGCCAAAGCCCACGGCCAAAGCCAGAGCCACCTGCCTTGGTCCAGCTCAGCAGACTTCACTTTTTTTTTTGGTTTAGTACCTGGGGTCAAACTCAGGAAATTGTACTCATGAGGCAGGCAGTGGAACCACTGAGCTAAATCCCTGGCCCACACTTCACATTTTTAAGTGGTTAAAAATATCAAAAGAAGGGCTGAGGATTTGGCTCAGTGGTTCCTGTGCCAGCCTTGCAAGCACAAGAACCCGAGTTCAATCCCTGGTCTTTTTTTTTTGGTTTAGTACCTGGGGTCAAACTCAGGAAATTGTACTCATGAGGCAGGCAGTGGAACCACTGAGCTAAATCCCTGGCCCACACTTCACATTTTTAAGTGGTTAAAAATATCAAAAGAAGGGCTGAGGATTTGGCTCAGTGGTTCCTGTGCCAGCCTTGCAAGCACAAGAACCCGAGTTCAATCCCTGGTGTCCCAAGTTTTAGGGGTCACGGCACAGTTACTTCTTTACACATTGTCTAAGGCTGCTTTTGCACAACCGTGGCAGAGTTGAGGACTTGTGTCAGAGACTGTAGTGCCCACGATGCCTAAAATATTTAATATCTGACACTTTATAGCATCTGTCCGTGTGAAACTTCCTTTCCTCCTCTTCTACCAACCCCTAGGCAACCTCTCCTGGGAATTTTGAGCCTGTCTCTGTTTGAAGAAAAATCATTTATTGTACAATTATGTACCTTAAAACTGTATGATTTAGTTTTGTATGTTCTTTTCAGCTTTATGAAAATCATACTGTGCTGTACGGAGACTTCTGCGATTGCTTTGATAATTGAAGATTATAAGACTTGTTCATGTTACGCTTGAGTGTGTTCCTTCCGCCAAAACCGGGTAGTCTAATTTATAAGCGCTTGTTTACCGGGGACCACTGAGCTGTGACTGGGCTTCTCACCACTGGAAGTGGTGTCGCAGAGAAAGTGCTTCTGCCTCTGGGAAAGCCTCCTGGAAACGGAACCGCTAGATGCTAGGGCATGTGGATGCTCACCCGTCTGAGCAAGTGACTGTAACAGTGGGGGGTGCTAGGTTACGCAGAATAACAAACGACCCTCGAGTCTTCGTGGATCACCACAGAACAGCGGAGGTACATTCTGGTCATCTGGCCCTGGCTCTGCCGCTGTTGTTTCGCTCTAGGATTTAGAGGGAGAAGCCACTTCTCCTAGGAACACTGGCCACTGTGTGGCCAGAACTAGTTCTTCATCTTCTGTTAGATTTTGTACAGAAGGATGAATGTCATTTCCACTCATATTTGTTGGTCAGATTTGGACTTCAGAGCCAGGGGTGACAGTGCAGAAAAATGTTATCACCCCCCAGGAAGGGGTAGCACGTACTTCTGAGCAGCATCACAGCCCTGGACAGCTTTCCAGAGAGTGTCGTCTCGTTAGTGCCGTGCCTGTCACGTCAGGGTCACCTGCCCCCTCTCACTGTCACACTCATTCTGCCAACTTGGTGGGTACAGAATGACATTTCTCTGTGGTCTTATCCTGTCACATGTTTCTGTGCTGATTGTGTTTCTTTTCCATGAAATGTTTCCTCATGCTTTTCCTGTTTAAAAACGTGGTCGCTCGTCCTTTACTCTTCAACTCACAGAAGTTCCTTATGAAGCCTAGATAATGATCTTTAGTCACTTATCTGTTCGATACGTATCTTTGGTGGGTTTTTTTTTTTCTGTTTTTACAGTCATCTTTCTCTATCTTTCTGGTAACAAGCAAAAAATATTCTTTAATTTAGCTAAACTTGTATTTCTTTTCTTGCTAGTTGACCTTTTTTGTTGCTTGACTAAAGAAGCCCTTTTCTGTATGATGTAATAAAAATACATGCTCGCATTTTACTCTGAGAGTTTTAAGTTTTGCCTGGCATGTTTGAGTCTAACCTATCAGGACTCAATTGCCGTGTGTATTGGAAGGTAACGGCTGGATTGACGCATGTTGGCTTGGACCACCGGTCCCAGCACTGTGTATTAGTTGCCTTCATCTTTTCTCTGTCGATCTGCAATGCTATCATCTGCAAGTTTCCAGAAAGCCACATCCATATTTCATTTCATTGTTGATTCTTAGCCTGTACTAATCCCACACTGTCCTTGTTGCAAGAGCCTTGTTACAGCTCTTGATCTCTACAAGGACATGGCCTTCTACCTTCTGTCCCCACTTCAGGAATGCCTTGGTTACTCCTGGCTCTTCATTCTCCTCTATGCATTTTAGAACCTGAATTCCCAGACTTGCATTGAAAAAATTCTTTTCTTCTTTCCTTCCTCCCTTTCATTTTCTCTTCTCTCCCTCTCCCTGTCCCCCTCCAGCCCTCAATCCTGGGGTTCAGACTCCGGGCCTCACAATGCCGGGCAAGCACTCTGCCACTGAACTCCTCCTTTAGCCCTTGGCCTGTAGGCCTCATGTCTGGGGGAACTGACATCTTTCCCAGGTGGGCCGAGAGGAGTGGCAGGAACAGTGACTGATGTGCATCAAGTGTGCACACGCTGGCTTCCCCTCCGTGAGGAGGACACCTCTTTCCTTCACTCGGCTAAGCCTTTGCTGGTGCCCTGCAGTACAGTTTTAAACACTTCGCAGCGTCCATGTTGAGCAGTACACGCGTGTTACAGTTGTCTAGGGTATACAATATGCCTCTTTTTCTTCTTTAAAAAAATGTCGGTACAGTTTTATAAAACTTCTCCAGAAATAGTTAATCTTTTGTTAGATTTATTTTTAGGTACTTTGCTTTGTCGTTGCATTTGAAGCTTTCTTTTTTGTCTGTTGTCGAAGTGTAGAGATGCAGGCGACTGGTTTGTGTTGCGTGGCAGACACAGCCTCTTTGCCAAGCTTTTCTCCTGTTTCTGACAGCACACAGGTGGGTTCTTTCCGTGTCTTTTCTTGGACAATCATGTAACTCACAGTGATAACAGTTTCCTCCCTTTGGAGTCCTTTATCCCTTGTGTTTCACTTACTGCTTGACTTCTTGCTAGTGCTGACAATATTTTCTAGGGAATACTTTGAGAGTTTTAAAAATAAATTTAATTGATCAGATTGAGACAGCAGAGAAGGGCCTGACATTTCCCAAGAGTAGTTCTCCTCCTCCTCTTCCTCCTTCCTTCTTCTTCTGTACTGTGGGTCAAACTTAGGACCTTTGTGCTTGTGTGGAGCCACTGAGCTAAGTCCCCAGCCTACCCAAGAGTACGTCTCATAAACGTTTTCTTCCGTGGCTGCCCCAAACGTCTTGCTCCTGGCCACGACTACATCAGACTTCCCACAGCCTCTCTGGGAAAGAGAAGCGGGCTCACTCACAGGTGTCCCTCAGGTGACTCTGCCTCTCTGCAGCCATCCCCACACAGATACACGAGAAGCCCCTCTGTTACCTGCGCCCAGACAGCAAGCCCGATGTGGTGCCTGCACGAGCTTATTCCTCCATACGCCCACCTCCCCCAGCCCTGTGCCGGTCGGTCGGTCTGTCTATCCTGCTGCCCCCCGTGCTGCAGCGTCCTAAGGTCTCTTCCACATGGTGTGCTTTTGCCTATTCATAATTCCTATCTTGAGTAGAGAAGGCTGAGCTGGTAACACCACAGGCCACTGGCACTGCAAAGGCCAGCAGCCAAGGCTGGTGCCACTGAAGGCAGCCAGCTCCAGACAACAGTGGAGAGCAGAGAGACTCGCCAGGGGTGGCCAGCAGCGTCCCCAAGCACTGCAGGTGGCTGCTAGCTCTGGCTGCCAGAGGTTGGTGAAAGATTGCAACACAGAGCCAGTAACTGCTGGCATTCAAAGATCAGAGCTGTTAACACTGAAAATCTGTATGCGTTTCCCACTTGTGATTTCTGTCTGAATTGAGCAAAAGTACCCTGAGCTGACTGGTGACATCTTGGTGACCTATGTTCGAGGAGGACCCTGAAGAAGAGGCGGGGCAGTGGTGACAGCCAGGGGAGAGGTGTCCCACGTGACCAGCAGCCACCTGACCCTCTGAGTGTCAGGTACGCCTGGTATGCGTGTGGGCCACGCCCCGTGGGCTGGGCTTCTGCACCCAAAAGACAGCACCTGTGTCTGCATTCTCCATCCTGTACTCTTCCCTCGTTCCCATTGCTCCCTGGTTGTTGCAGTCAATTCTCTGCCAAGCAGTTTTATAAATTCGGAAGTGGTTTTTCCTCTTGTTCTTGGGTATATGGTGTCTCGTTCTCTGTCACCCACTATCCACATTCAGGAGAGGACTGGTCAGGCCCCTCTGGGTCAGGGCATCCAATGTAACTCGACTGAACTCTCGA